GAGGACGAGGAAGAGGCGGACGGAGAGACGACGACTGGTGAAGTCCACGTGCTGCAGTTGGTCCGAAAGTGTCCAACAAGTCCAATTTACGTTCGGAATGTCCGCTGACACCGTGGACACGTTATGGTGATTGGGTGTTGGCGTCAAGAGGTCGGCGCAACCGAGATTTGCGTGCTTTTAATTTGACTTTCGCGGCGGCGATGCGGTTTGCCTCGCAGATCCCTCCGCCTGTCTTCACTGTCCTCCCCCAGGTCGGTCGGACTCGGGCGATGTCTTTCCAGTTGGCCGGGTTTTTCTGCAGACGCCTTAGAGAGGTTTTCAGAATGTCCTTGTACCGACGAATTTGGCCTCCTTGGCGGCGGGAACCCGTGGTGACATCTCCATAGAAGAGTCGTTTGGGAAGTCCCTCGTTGTCCATCCGCACGAGGTGGCCGCTCCAACGCAGTTGTGGTTGTCTCAGCACGGCGTAGATGCTAAGGATTCCCGTCTGCTCCAGTACATCCGTGTCGGGGATCCGATCCTGCCACCTCAGCTTCAGTATTCGGAGAAGACAACTCAGGTGGAGGTGGCTGAGTCGCAGCACCTGCTTCTTGTAGACCGTCCAGGTGTCTGTTCTGTACATCAGCGTCGGCAGAATGACTGCCTTGTACATCTTCATTTTTGTGCTGAGCTGAAGACCGTGACGATGCCAAATAATGTTTTGAATAAGGCTGAGGGTTTGACTGGTCTTGGAAATCCAAAGGGCCACTTCGTCGTCGATTTTGATGCTTCGGAAAAGGGTGCCGCACAGATACATGAAGTTGTCCACCACTTGCAGTTGGGTTCCGTTCACGCTGATCTGCGGCGACGCGTTGGGAGCTGTGGCTGAGTTGGGTGGCGGTTGGTGCATGACCACCGTCTTCTCCGTGTTGATGACCAGACCGAAGTTCCCGCAGGCGGCGGAGAAGAGGCCATGCTCCTTTGCATGTCCCCTTCTGAGGTCGTGTTGAGGGCGCAGTCGTCTGCGAAGAGATGTTCATGGACGGTAGTTGTGAATACCCGCAAGTGGGAGTGCATCCGCCGGTGGTTGAAGACGTGGCTGTCCGCCCGGTTGGCGATGCGAATCCCGGGACGTTCGCCACGGTAGGCGTCCATCAGCATGACAAAGAACATAAGATTGAAGAGGGTGGGCGCGAGAACGCAGCCCTGCTTCACTCCGTTGGTCATTGCGAATGCAACTGAGACAGCTCCGTTGTCCGTGACTCGCGCCATCATACCGTCGTGCAGCTGACGCACCATCTGAATGAATCGATCCGGACAGCCGAATTTCTACATTAGTTTTTACAGTCCTTCACGAGTCACCGTATCGAAGGCTTTTGTCAGGTCCACGAAGGTAGAGTACTGGTGGGTCCTCATCTACTGGCACTTCTCCTGAAGTTGACGGGCGGTGAAGATCATATTCGTGGTCCCACGATGACGACGGAAGCCGCATTGGCTCTGAGGTGACTCCATTGTCCGTGACGCGCGCCATCATGCCATCGTGGAGGTGACGTACCATCTGAATGAATCGTTCGGGACAGCCGAATTACTTCATGATTTTCCACGGTCCGTCACGAATTGCCGTGTGGAAGGCTTTCGTCAAATCCACGAAGGTAGAGTATAGGTTGTTCCGCATCTTTTTATGCTTCTCCTGAAGTTGGTGGGTGGCGAAGATCATGTCCGTGGTCCCACGATGACGGTTGAAACCGTACTGACTTTCCGGCAGAAGACCTTGTTCCAAGTGATTATTCCGGCGGTTGAGAAGGATGCGAGCGAAAATTTCCCCGGCGATGTTCAGCAAGGAGATGCCTCGGTGGTTGTCGCAGATCTGACGGTTTCTTTTCCATTGGTATAAATGCACGATTTTGGCATTTTTAAATCCCGCGGGAGTTCTCCTTGACGCCACATCCCCCGGAAGAGCGCCGTCAGGTGATCCATGAGTTGGGGGTCACCATGCTTGTAGATTCCAGCAGGGATCACGTCCGATCCGGGCGCTTTCCCGTTGGAGAGCTGCTGCACGGCCCTGATGGTTTCCTGGGGAGAGGGCGGAATGTCGAGGTCGACGTTGGTCTCCGTTTGCTGCAGACGGGCGACGGCGGCGCGGAGATTGTGGGGGAACGGTTGAGGACGTCTTTGAATTGTTCGGCCCACCGCTGAAGAATTTGTGTCTTCTCAATGAGTAGGGTACTGCCGTCGGCGCTGAGAAGAGGTGCAGTCCCTTTGACTGGCGGGCCGTAGACAGCTTTGATCGCGGAGAATAAGTTCTTCCATTCGTTGCAGTCCGCGTATCCTTGGATCTCCTCGGCTTTACAAGCCGTCCAGGCGTCCTGCATCTCGCGTAGTCGCTGTTGCACAGGACGGCGGCTACGGCAAAAGGCCGTTTTGTTGTCGTCGGTAAGGTGGTCTACGAAGGCTTTGTGTAGGCGGTTCTTCTCGGCGAGCAGGTTGCTGATGGCTGCGTCGTCGTCGAACCAGTCCTGGTGTTGGCGGCGTGAGCGACCGAGGACGACCAGCGCCGTCGACTGGACCGTGTCCCGCAGTTGCCACCATCAGTTCTCCACGGAGGCGTTCTCGTCAGCAGCGGCGGCAGCGGCAGCGACTGGAAGGTTGTCTAGCCGTTGAGCTAGCTGTTTGCTGAAATAGAGATGGTGAGCGGGCAAAGGCAAGGCAATATTCAGCCTCTCTGAGGGTAGCTTATTTTAAGCTCTCCTACGTGGCTGTAGGCGGATTCGCATCAGTGAGATGACGAGGAGGTGCTCGGTCCACCCACCGGCACCCGCGATCGCCTTTGTCAGCATCACGTCCCGCTGGCCTCGCTTCCGGGCGAGGACATAGTCTAGCAGGTGCCACTGACGCGACTGAGGATGCCTCCAGGTGGCCTTCTTTCGAATCAAAAAGCGAAAAAAAGTTTTGGTCAGGATGAGTCGGTGTTCTGCGCAGGCTCGTAGAAGGAGTAGGCCATTGTCATTGGAGCCGTTGAGACCATGGGGACCTAGAACTCCTCGCCAGGCAGCATGGTCTTTGCCGACGCGGACGTTGAAGTCACCAAGGACAATCAACTTATCCGCCTTCGACACAGTCGCCAAGAGTGCATGCAGTTCCTGGTAGAATTTGTCCTTCCGGCGTCAGGCCTTTTCATCGGCGGGGCGTAGACGTTGATGATGGTGACGAATTTGCCTGCCCGAAGAGACAGACGGAGTTTCATCAGGCGATCGTTGATGCCCTGCAGCAAACGGGGCAGTGGTCCCACTATGTCGTTCCGGATGGAAAAGGAAACACCCGCGTCTCGTCGCTCTGCCTTGAAGCAACCGCTACATAAGAAGGTGCAGCCGGCACCCACATCCTCCAGTTGACCTTGTTCGGAGAATGGGATCTCGCTGAGTGAGGCCATGTCCACCTTGTAGCGCACCAGTTCACGAGCCACTAGCGCCGTCCTCCGCTCCGGTCGGCTGCTCATCGGATTGTCTAAAAGGGAACGAACATTCCAGGCTGATAGAGTGAGCGGACTCACCCTGTCAGTCTGGCGAGTGGGCGGCTGGAAGGAGGAGAAGGAGGGGGAGCAGGAGGAGCAGGAGCAGGGGAGGAAGAGAGAGTGTGTTGTTTCGATTTTGGTTGTTTCGATCGTGAGTTTAACGTCTGTGACCACGGTCAGCCCGCAGACGGCGTGGTTCTCCAGAATCTGTTTAGGGCACTTTTTCTAGCAGGGATAAACAGTGCCGCTCTAAATAGGGCTGCTGAGTTGTGTCAGGCGGCTGTCGAACTCCCCTATGGGCGATGGGGGAACGACCCAAGTTGGTCTGGGACAGTCTACGACATCGTCGCAAGCTTGTGGCCTATGGCGGTGTACCAGACGGAGCATCGTCTTGACGATGCCGATGCGAAGTTTCATCCGACCAGCCGCCCAGCGAAGTCAGCATTACCGTGCGCACGGAGATGCACACACGGATACCCCCACTTGGTTAAGCCCGCTGGTCGAGGCGGTTACTGGCCTGTGACCGCTGGGCAGAGCCTAGCTTCGGTGAGCCACATGTGAGAGTTGGATGCCAACAAATGGACGCTAGGCGTAGTCTACACCTGAAAGCAAGTGAGCGACCTTCTGCGTGTGTCACATCAACCCACCTATGTACACTCCTATATCCCACATAAATACATACAGTGAGTGACGGATCTCATGAAATGTTGGCTGAAATGCTGAAATGCGTTCTCGATTAGGAAGGATTACTAAGGTGGGGTTGTAATACTGATGGTCTTGCGGTATAATCCTCTAATATTTCGGACTCAGCGGGATGTCAGCTGCTGAATACACTGCTTTTAGAACTCCTGCAGGCACCGCACTCGTTTAAAAATGACTACTTAAGTAACATGCATTTTTCCCATTGACTTCAGGTGGTCTTGCAAATTCAAATATATTTTATAGAAACCCCGAACATATATATGCTTTCTTTCAATCGGTTGACAGAGAATCACGACGAAGAAGGAATATAGTTGAGTTTTAACAAAGTTTTCGCGTAAAGAAAATCACACATCCTTCTATGCCTTTAAAAAGTTATCATACAGATTCCGTAAAATTCTGCAACGGATGCGGACTATGTTGTACATTTCATGAGAAGCAGTAGTAAAAGAGAGGTACGATGCCATATGAATGGACATTGTGTGGTCTTGAAAAATCTCAGAATTAGAAACATTTTTAAAACCTAAATACACGCCTTCTTCGAGTATAAAATATAAAGATGGCGCGATTCTCTATCAAACGACTGAAAGAAAGCATTTTTTTGTTCGGGGTTTCTAGAAAATACATTGGAATTTGCAAGACCATTTAAAATCAATGGGAAAATGCATGTTACTTAAGTAGTCATTTTTAAACGAGTGCGGTGCCTGCAGAAGTTCTAAAAGCGGTCTATTCAGCAGCTGAGATCCTGCCGAGTCCGAAATATACAGGATTAAACCGCAAGATAATCAGCATTACAACCTCGCCTAAGTAATCCTTCCTAATCAAAAACGCATTTCAGAATTTCAGCCAATAGTTAATGAGATCGGTGACTCACTGTACCATTGTACGTCCCCGATCGCAACCGACGGGAAGAGCCCGTGTCTCGGTAGTTAGAGGTGCTGGACTTTTGATCAACAGGTCGCGGGATTGAGCCCCAGGTATTCCACACTTCGAGGTTGGGTATGACTGCCTGACGGCGGCTAATAAGCCGGAAATGGACATTCCAGTCTCCGTTGTCCTTGTCAGTAATAACATTCTGCCTATGCATAGAGTTTTTGGCCGATCTCATGAAATGCTAACCGAAGGATGGATTACCTAGGTTGGTTTGTAATATGGTTCATCGTGCAGAAGAAAATCCCAAATATTTCAGACTCGCCAGCATTCCGACTTCTGAATGCACCTACCTTCGACCGCCGGCAAAAACTGCACTCGATAATTAATGACTACTTAAGTTGCATTAATTTTCCCCATTGATTTTCGACATCTGAATAAATTCAAGCAAAATTTATAGAAAACGTGCACAAAATACCCTTTTTTCTCATTTGGCAGACGATCGATTCTTCTTCAACTTTTTTTATTCGAGGAAGGCGTATCTTCTGGCTTATCAAAAGTTTTTAACTGCAGAAAATTTCTAACCCGGCCGGCATTTGTATTGCGCCTATGGTTTCAAAACTCCATGATGCATACTTTCTTTGCAATAAAAATCATGTATTTCTCCACTGTATTACGAGTAAATCATATGGGTCTCTGGATATTTTGCAATGGATGTGGAGCGTGTTTTATACTTCACAGGCAGCATTAATAAAAGTACTGATGCAATGCTGTATGAACGGGCCTTTCATGGCCTTACAAAATCTGATAATTATAAACTGTATGATACCAGTGTCGCAACTCTGATTCGTGGTGATGGCACTATCACTGACGGTATTCGTGCTAGTATTAATAAACTCTGTGTTAAATACGCCATAAATGACATTAGTTGTGATATTAGTAGTAGTAGTAGTAGTAGTAGTAGTAGTCCGCCCGTGGTAGCAGTTGTAGTGGTCCGCCTGTAAGACAGACTGGTGGGGAAATAGGTAATTCTAAGTTTTGCGACACTGTATTCTCGCCTATGCGACTGATAGGAAGTACATTCAAAAGCTGGCATTCTGGCTAATCTGAAATATTACCGGATTATTCCACAGGATATTCAATATCACCTTCCCGCCCAAGTTATCCTTTTTAACCAAAAACGCATCTCATAACTTCGGTTAACATTTCATTTGGTCGGTCACTAACCTTCCATGCACCAACCACCCGTCCACATCCGCCAAACAGTCACACATCACACCTTAATCCTGCGCTATACTTGCCTATACCAAACTAACAGCCTAAGTTATTTAAGTTATCCATCGGCTATGCCCAAATGGGAGGGAGTGGATCGATATCGATTTAAATACCAATAAATCAATATCTATAAATACCAATATCGATAAATACCAATAAATCAATATCGATTTAGATACCGTTCGGAAAGCTGCCAAACAAAACTTTGCTTTCCATTCAAAAAGCATATGATTTTTTTTCAAAAAGGGGATGCGCTACGGATATCCGACGTGCAACCAGATGTCATCTTCACCACAGGCACTTGGTTACAACCCTGCCAGCACATTGCCCCTTCATAGGCGGGGCTGGAAGGGGCTGGGTGGGGCCAGAGCCCCGCCTGCCAGCACATGGCTCCTTCATAGGCGGGGCTGGAGGGGGCTGGGCGGGGCCAGAGCCCCCTCTGGATTGAAGCCTTTTGAAGCGTATTTGCATCGAAAGATATGTTCCAAAAGCACCACTTATTGTACCTTCTTTGGAATTTAAAGGAGCTAATTTATCAAAATTGGCTTATAAACCATGGAGAAAGCATCCGTTTACGCCCACTGAATGTAGCTGCGGATGAGCACAATATATTGAGGTTTTGTTTAAGTCCCTCATTGCTTAAACTCTTATTTGTCCACCGGTTTACAATCTGTGTGTGTTATTAATTCGTATACTTGACAATGGGGACGATATTTTAAAGTGGTGCCAAAAGTGGGCTGGGATGTGGCGTCCCCTGCGCATTTTTCTTCGCTGGCGGGGCTAGGCGGGGCTATCGCGTTGCATGCCCCGCCACAGCCCCCTCCACAGCCCCGCCTAGCCCCCTCATAGCCCCCTCTAGCCCCGCCATTATTGAGGGGGCCAGGCGGGGCTAGGCGGGGCTGGTGCTGGCAGGGAAGCTACATTGTCAGACGGTGAATTTATCATTAACGCGTGCCAAATATTCATTCGTTATCGACTGCACAAAATAGATGGCGAACTAAATAAGTACGCCAGTGGAGAAATCATTTCAAAAAAACGCATAGCTAGTTGCCCAAGCGAATGTGATACAAAATCTTCGAAGTTGAAGGCGCATTAAGCTAAAATCGGGAACTTCTGACTGCATACAGGCCGTCTAATCAAATTCCTGGTGTTGATGACGTCTGGCCTATCCTCTCACAGCATTTATTACCGAGTATTTAAACGAGTCATCAATTGACTGGTACATACAATTTATAAGACCAAGTTTCACGTAAATCGCTGGACTCCAGCGTATTAAAACTGACCATAAATTTCTTCCTAGTACAGGCTGTCGCATTTCCGACATGAATCAAAGTGATTCAAGAGTCAGATTGCCTGGATCTCCTCCTTACGAAAGATGCACACAAACTTAGGTCCGGAGCATTGCTTAGCAAAAGTAACCATATTATACTCTCATGGGAATACTACCTGTACACCAAACAAATGGAGAGAACTAGAATCAAAATGAGTGTCTGACGAGGTAATGCCTCTGTCACGAGAACCGGAACATAGATAATAAGCTAATAGGACGTTCTTACTAGGAGCTAGAGAATCAATTAGAACACCGGTTAACGGGTCGTGAATAAGAATATGCATCTTTACTGCATCTTTCACTTAGCAAATCGTCCCGGGTGGTTCACGTGGGACTTTAAGAGACATACAAAGATTAAAAATTAATTTTTTGAGGAAGCCAACAGCAACAACATAATTTCTGCATTTCGAAGAGGCTCATATATCGGCAGATTACGCAAAGAGCATGAGGCGCAAAATACATAATGGGTCGTGATAGAATAAAAATGCTATTTAACTACATCAACAGAAGCCTAAAGGGTGGGAGTAGGGTCGTAGAAATGAAAGGATACAACTATGAGAATATGAAAGTGAATGATCATTAGGCTGGCGACCACACCCACTATTTGGGTCTGTCTTCAACAATGATGCAAATTTTAACCAGGAGGATTTTCCAACTCGAATTGATGATAGTCATGAAAAATCCTGATTTCTCAGAGGAAGCCGTGGAGATGAAATTGTTTACCCTAACGACTAGCAGTCTCTCGGTCCGTGCGAGATACTGAAGGAATTCGCAAGCGAATTCCTTCAGTCCGCTTTCGGCTATTTTCCAATTGTACTTTATATTTGCAGTACCTTCCCCTCTGATCAGAATAGGACAAAGGTATGCTTCAGCCGTAAGAGTGGTCTAGAACACGCGCTAACAACTATGAGATAGTGAGTCCACTACTTATTTCCGTAAGACCGCAGCTGGTAGCCAAAAATGATATGTTGATTATGTCGACGTACATACTTATTATCGGTAGATGTGCTTACCTTGTCTAGGGAACTTTCTATCAATAGGTGTGCTCTTACTGAGTTAGGCAGGTCGCCCGTTTCGGTCAGGCTGTTGGGTTTAGTGGGGGTAAGGGTTAAGCGTAGGTTTAGTTTTAGAATTAGGGTTTGCGTTTTAGGATCAGGTTTCAGTGTTAGGGTTAGGGTTTAGGTTCCCGTTAGGGTTACGGTTAAGGTTGAGACTATGATTAGGGTTAAGGTTAGGCTTAGTGTTAGGTTTAAGTCTAGAGTTAGGGTTGAGGTTAGTGTCAAGGTTAGGGTTATGGCTAGGTTTTGGGTTAGCGTTGGGTTTTAGGATTTTGGTTACGTTTCGGTTTTGAGGCTTATGGTTAGGCTTTGCGGTTGTGGTCAGGGTTGGGTTTTAGGGTTAAGCATAGGGTTTAAATTTCTGTCATTATTCCACCTACTTAGAACTTCCCAGAACTTTCCCTGGTAACTTTACTTTTACCCAGAATCTCCAACATTCCTCTCCCAGCCCTTCCACTTACTCCACCCATATAACTTCCTTCCCCACCATATCCGTACGGCAGGGACCTGGCTGTCCGCCTCCCCTGTCCTGGCTACCACCTGCGATCTAACCCTTATTTCTTGCAAAGTTATGGAAAGAATCATCAGATAGAGCGACAGTGACGTTTTGTAAAAAAAAAGACGTCCTCGCCAATGTCCAGCGTATTTTGGACGACATCCCCCCTGTTTTAACAGCACCTCTTATTCAATAGAGCAGTAGGTGTTCGCTTTGGAAGAAGATATAAGAGTGGATGCCCTTAATATTGACTTTAAAAACACCCTCGATAGTGATTCATACTCTTGGTCACTTCAGCAGATCCGGGTAATCTAGGGCATGAGAGATCCACTGGCCCGGAGACTGTCTACAGCACTCTCACACCACGTGGATTTGGCGTTGCACCCAGACCAGAGGCGACTAGTAGGCGCCAGGTAATAAGACCGAAAGACCCTCTGTCAAGGCAGAAAACGTCTGAAGTCATTTACGGAAGCCTACACAACTTTGGGCACGACAACTGCTTAAAAGAAACTAAGCGATTACTACGGACGCGGATGGCCGAATATGCAGCAACAGTTGGGAGGAATAACGCAAACATGCAAGTTGAGGCTCATTTGACCGAATCTGCGCAATTCTTTACGTTGAACTAGACTGAAAATCGCACGCGTGGTGACATCTACCTGAGCCATGCTTCTTCGTCTTGCAATCGATTAATAAACATAGTGACCTCTCACCCCCATATCCAAGGGGCCAAATGTTGTCTTGACAGAGTAATTGGCCATAAAGGAATCGTGCCGACTAGATGCGCTTCTAGCGACAGTGTCTGAAGGCCAAATTGCCGGGGACCAAGAACGCCAATAAACGACAACAGTAATGAGATTTGGCAATCAACAACTTGATTGCTGGTGGACAACCGATCATCGAAACAATTGCAACCATCGTGTGCTGATGTGGGAGGTACTAACTATGGCAGGTGTATGGTTGAACGGCAACTTCATTCCATAAGTATACACTTTCTGTGCGTCTATTAATGTGCGTGTCTATGATGAGGGGTTCCAGCGAGGATCCGGGAACTCGAG